GTTAGTTAGCTATTTAATGCTGTAACAACTGGGTGTGGTTATGATGCTTGCAGTTTGGGTCTTTACTAATTTTATACCACAGACTTTGGCTCCAACTGACAAAATTGATAGATGATGACAGCAGGCAAACCTAGGAAATTTTGGCTTCACTTTTCTTTATTGGAAGGAAGTGGAGATGTGTCATCATCTTGTTCTATACCATCTAGCACAAGAATAACTGTTGTGGCATATGTGGTACAAAATGTGTCAGATTTAAGTGTCATTACTTGGTACATGTTTGAGAAATTGTGATTGTACGTTCCAAATCTTACATCTATAACCTGTGCACTCATACATACTGAAGTCACACTGTCACTCACACACTCATACATGCACTCATTTAAACATTGTATGAGACAGCGAGAGGGAGTAAATCAATGGCTACCATTAGAGCTGCTGCTAAAGGAGAGTGGTCACCTGCCTTTGCTGAGTCACCAAAGCGACATACAAGGGAGGGAGAGATACAGAGAAATAGAGAGACTGCCAGAGAGAGAGTGTGTGTGTGTGAGTGTGTGTGTGCGAGAGAGAGGAATACAGTCCAAGAAAGAAAGAGTTTGTGAGAGAGAGAGTTCAAGACAAAGAGGTGGTGTGTATGTGTGTGAGTGATAGAAAGAAAAAAAAGAAGAAAATGAGTTTGTGTGTGAATGGAATGGGCCCAGAAAATAGAACAACAGGGCCATTAGTGACAGCCAAGTAATAAGGAAATATTGCCCGAACTGCTTTCAAATGGACTGTGGACATTAAAGTGCTCAATGCAAATGCTGCTACATGAGAAATGCATTACCGCAGAGGCTACACAATTTTCAGCATTTAGAAAAACACAAAGAAACCAGAGACTAAAGCATAACTTGTAATGTAAAGCATTGTGAGCAACATAATACGATTAAAAAACAATTTTAAAAAAATTATAATAAAAAATAGTGACATGAGGAACTAATATTTTGAAGTTTTCCTTTGTACAATTAGCACTTTCTGTGTGCACTGTCTCTTCGTGTTGATTTGCTGAATGTCTCCTCAAATGTAAGGCACTATGAATGATGTCTACCAAATGAAAATGTAAATGTAAAGTACAATTACTCCCAAGGCCGTTTATATCAACGTTGATATTTAGTCACACCATGTTGGCGTTTTGTAACGTCTAATTTTTATGAGGTGGGTCATTAACCCAATGCTCAACCCCAACCTGGAGGCCCGGATACACTCGCACACATACACTACGGACAGTTTAGCTTAACCAGTTCACCTAAAGCACATGTCTTCAGACTTTTGGGGGAAACCGGAGCACCCAGAGGAAATCCACATGAACACTGGGAAAAAAAGCCAAAGCCACAGAAATGCCGACTGACACAGCCAGGGCTCGAAACGCTGACGGTCTTGAGCGCTACCTACTGCACCACCATGCCACCCTTTTTAACCATTTATATACATATAGAAGTAGTTTTTTCATTGCTTTATGGAAGTTCAGAGCTTGCATTATTATTAGTGACACTGTTATTTTGTTATTGGTCTAGACTTCTCTGAAGGATCATGGATAGTCTAGTTTTTACAAGGAATTACCCTGCTAAAAATACTCTGATAAAAAAAAAAAAAAGTTCATTGCAAAAAGAAAATGATAAAAGAAAAGAAACAAAATGTTTCAATATTACGTCAACATCTGATTATAAATGATGACCATGATGCGAAAAAACAGGTTTGCTTCAGTATTCTGTTTGGGGCAGCATGGTGGCTCAGTGGTTAACCCCACAGCAAGAAGGTTGCTGCTTCGAATTCCAGCTTGGCCAGTTGGCTTTTTTGTGTGGTTGCATGTTCTCCCTGTATTGCCGTGGGTTTCTTCCGGGGGCTTCGGTTTCCCCCACAGTCCAAAGACATGGTATAGATTAACTGGATGAACTAAATTGGCCATAGTGCATGTGTGTGTGTGAATGCAACAGTGTATGGGTGTTTCTCAGTACAAGGTTGTGGCTGGAAGAGCGTCCGCTGCATAAAACGTATCTGGAAAAGTTGGTGGTTTATTCGGCTTTGGCGACCCCTGACTAAGCCAACAGAAAAGAATAAATGTTTTGTTTAGATGTCTTTGGTCTATGTTGCTTTAAAATTTCTGTCAAACCACTTCACA